TAAGTATACTCTTAATTCTCTTCACCTATTTTTCCCACCCCCACCCACCTTCTCTCTGGTAACCACCAATTTGTTCTCTATAGTTGAGAGTCTGTTTCTTGGTTTGCCTCTCTATATCCTTTTTTTTCCCTTTGTTCATTTGTTTTGTTTCTTCAATTCCACATATGAGTGAGATCATATGCTACTTTTCTAACTGTGTTATTTCACTTAGCATCATGCCCTCCAGATCCATCCATGTTGTTGCAAATGTCAAGATATCATTCCTTTTTATGGCTGAATAATATTCCATTATATTAATGGATATATGTATATATATCACATTTTCTTTATCCATTAATCTATCGATGGACATTTAGGCTTCTTCCATAATTTGGCTCTTCTAAATAATGCTTCAATAAATCTAGGGTGCATATATCTTTTTGAATTAGTGTTTTTTGTATTATTTGTATAAATTCCCAGTAGTGAAATTACTAGATCATATTGTAATTATATGTTTAATTTTTTGAGGAATCTCCATACTGTTTCTCATATCCAATTTAATTCTTAAGGAATTTTATTGATATGTAATCATACCATAACACAGTTAAGAAAACTAGCTAAGAATGTTCAGTTCATTTGCCTAAAAATTATTCTAGTATGAATTCATTGCACTGGAATTTGAACCCAAGTAAAATTACAAATTTTTAATCTTTCCATTAACATTGTAAACTGAGGAGTCATATAGTTACATATTGTTAAGTTAAACTATTAGTTAAGTTTTGGAGGAGTCAACTTAAAAGATGAGCATGTCACAGGATTTTGTGATGTAAAATGACATAATGAATTTAATACTGTTTTAATCTGCATGAACCATTATTCAGATATCACATATTTCTAAAATTTGCTCAGAATATGGGACTGATGCATCTACTCTCCTACCCATCACTCCATCGGCCTTCTTCTGATGGACTGAATTAAGCAGAGATGCCCATGCATAAATTCAATTTCAAGGGAGTTGCAATCTAGTCCCAAAATAGAGTGGAGATTCTGTTGCTTGTAAAACAGAAGCAGTTGTATAATTTTAGTATCCACAGAGCCTTTTGTTCTACTAAAGGCTTTTCAGTTGGAACTTGTCCACTCCTCTGTGTATCTAAGCTCAGCCAGCTATCAGAGATACAGTCAGAGTTTCCTTGAATTTATCCATCTGAGTCTTTCTTGGGCAGTCTCTGTTCCTGTGGAAATCCCCACTGTCTCACCCTGAGCTACATTCATCCCTTATGCACATGGGTCCCTACTCCTTATGTGGCATTAGTGGCTATGGTTCTCTCAGGCTTCCAGGAACCATCTATAGCCAGGAAAAACTAAAAGCTTATTTTGTCTCAGATATATAAATTGGTAACTCCTATGCTGCTTAGGAAGCACCGACTCCAATTTGAGCACTCCATGAGCAAGAAAGCAAGGCACTGAAAGTTAATTAAGTAATGGGGAAATGCAAGTGGCTATAGACCTGAGTAAGTCTGTTATGGGGGAGGAGGGCTAAGCTTGGAGGAAAAACAATGACCAATTTGTCCATGGAAAATGGGAAAGAAAATGTGCGTTAAAGAAAAGAGATTGTGGGTGGTTGGACATAAGGATTTGGTTGAGGTGAAAAAAAAAATGAATTTTGTGGGAAAAAATACATAATGTGGTACAGTACTATGAGAAGAGATATGTTGCAGTATTTTAGATAAGTGGAAAGAGACTATTTGAATAGAATTATGAGGAGACTTGGATTATTATACAAACAGAGAAAGAAAGAATGCCGGTAATGTGGTGAACAATGGGAACAATAATGTTTTGAGGCTGGAAATAGTAAAACTCTCTGAGAGGTACTCTGGGGGATTTGAGCAAAAGGTAAAGAGGAAAGGGAGTAGGGGCAAAATCACATGTAGAAATCCATCTTCCTTTCCCCACACACTGGAAAGAAGGATCTTATGAGTAATGGCAATGGCTTTCCTTTCATCCTGAGATCAGTAGGCGGCAGATAACACATTTTAAACACAGGAATGATTTACCTTGCTGATGTCTTTAAGAATTTACTGCTATAAGGAGAATTCATTTGAGGGAATGGCTCAAAAAAGAAAAGAATTAGATGCGTTAAATGGCTAATAAAATAGTTTAGAAGAGAAATCATAGTAGTGATAAAAAGCAGAAGTGATTTAGTTACATATTCTGGACATAGGAACAAGAGGACATGTTAGTGGGTTAGGTTGAAGTGAGAAGATCTGAATAATCAAGGACAATGCCTAGTTTTTATATTTGATCAGCTATGCAGCATGAGTTACATTTACTAAAATGGAAATATTAAGGCAATTATCAAGAATTCTTTCTTGGCCATGTGATCTTTGTTGTGCCTTTTAGACATACAAGCAGAGATATTCAGTGGACTGTTTCATACATCCTCACTCTTGTTGGAGATTCTTAGAGCTCTTCCCACTTCACTCCCTTCTCTGCCCAGCAAAACCTTTTCCTTTCACGACCTGCCTCCCTCAGTTTTGTTCTAGACCTATCTTTTTGGTAAAATTGTAAAGAAAAGTGAGAAAACAACACCTGCCCAGGTAAAATTTGGGGGCATTTGCAGGAGAGCACAAGGGAATTACATAAGGAAGCTGGGAAAACATGCTCTGCAGTCTGAGTAGGAAGGGCCATTTATGAATTATATCCATCACTCTAATTCCTAGTGTGTGACTAAGGGTCATCACAGTACAGAATCGGGGCTACTTTCTGAAATAGGGTTAACATGTTTCAGTAGAAGTTACAGAAGCTTTAGAAGCAGGGGCTTAGATTCTACTTCTAATGATTCTTTTGTTTGCTCAGTAACATTTCTGAACCCAGGCTACTCATATATAACATGGCCTCTGTTGATCTCATATAGATATTTAGTAGTTCAAATATGATAATAAATGTGTAAATAATTTTAAAGAGTCTAAAAATACTCTTAGATATTGGGATATGATTATAACTCATGAATAAACTTAAGGAATTAGATAATGATAACTTTTTTTCTTCTTTAACTATGTAAAGATCTCCATTATAGGTAAATTTCTCTTATGAAAGAATCATTGCATTATGAGGAATAAGGCATAGATGGTTAACTGATGAGGGCTTTAGTAACAAACATAAGATGTTGTGTGTTTGTTGTGATAGAAAGAAGGCATGGCAGCAAAAGTACAGATGAGTAAAATACTGAGCTAGTGAAGCGTCTGAAGGAACTGAATTTATTTTAACATTGCTTTGGTATTAGGGACTGCTCACTGTAGTAGGCTGGACTTGGATGTTGACCAAGCTAGTCACAAGGCTGCAGCAACCAGACAGGTGATGCAACCACTATTTTGGGAAATTACCATCTACATCTGTGTGCCTTTAGGCAAACCATTTAAGTCTCTAAGCCTCAGTCTACTTACCTATAACATGCCTCTCTTTTGATGTCATTGGAGATATTTTATGGTACAAATATGATAATTAAAATGTAAAAATTCAAATGGAAAGAGGACTGTGGTAAGCATTTTCAAACATTGTTTAATTACCTGTAAAATGTTGTGACATAAAGTTAAGTCACTTTGTAACTGAAATACACTAAAACTGAATGAGCAAAGAAGCAAAAATAAGAAAACTAGGAGAATGGCACCAGATATTTGCAATTATAATGGGCCACTGGATCACAGTCTGAGGGTGTGGGGGGTACTAACTTCATTAGTTAGGATCATGAAAATGTGATTGCTGATATTTTTCTTGTATCTGTTAAAGATGGCCCAATGCCATGTCTACAGACAGGAGGATTAGAAAAAGAATTGAGTTCCAGTGACACCAAAAGGGAAGCTTCAGGATCAACAAGGCTGATGTAGCTCACAAATCAATTACATCAATCAAAAAAAATGATAATAATTCACTTAAGTAAAACTCTGGTCTGATTGCAGTATACGTACACATAAATGAACGTTGGGTGGGGAATGTGAAATGGAAACCAAACTCCAAACACCCATATTGAATAAGTGAGGTAAGTGCTATTTATCCTTGGATGTTTGTGGGCTTCTGGGTCCCATTTAAACCAGTTTGAGGGCTCATTTATTTCCCTTTCAAATTGGTAACCATACTCACTACATGTGCAATGTTTTTCAAGTATCCGTTATATCCTATGATATGATTTGATTAGTCTTCTAGGTTTTTCCATTGGAAAATGGATTTTTTATGATGCATTTATTACCTAAACTTTTTACAATGTTCCCTCTTTTTTAAAAAAAATGTTTATTTATTTACTTTTGAGAGAGAGAGAACATGCACAAGCAGGGGAGGGGCAGAGAGAGAGGGGAAGACACGAAATCTGAAGCAGGCTCCAGGCTCTGAGCTGTCAACACATAGCCCAACACAGAGCTTGAACTCACCAACTGTGAGATCATGACCTAAGCCAAAGTCTGATGCTTAATGGACTGAGCCACCCAGGCCCCCCTTCCAATGTTCCTTCTCTATAAAGTGTCCTTGTCTGAGGAAAATTAATGCTTGACATGGAGAGATCAGAGTATTGGAAAATATCCATACTTAATAACATACACAAAAATAAATGGCAAGTAAATGATGAATCTACAAGTAAATAAAAACAAACCAATTTATCAAAATATTAGTAGAAAAGATAGGACAATACATTATAAATTTACAGGAGGGAAGAATATCCTGTGAATGACTCAAAATCCAGAATTAGTAGAATAAAATATTGACAGAAAAAAACATAATGACCATAAACTATTTAAAAGACTAAAAAGTAATATATTAAAAGAGGGTGGTGACTTTGGGTAATTTTTCAAAACCATTTTTCAAACTGTATAGATAATGTGTCTACAAAACAATAAGAGAAAAGAAAAAAAACTAAGGTAGAAATATGAGTTGTCTTCTCCATACTGTGTGTTTTTCTTCCTTCTAGGAATCCACATTTTTGTGGTAGGAAAGTGGCTACGTGGGACAGACTCATGATAGTCTCTACCTCCAGTATGGAACAGTTTGTTTCATTCCACCTCACTGGGATTCCTGGCTCCAAGAATGTTAATCATTTTATTTCCATCCCCTTTCATGTGTGCTACTTGATTGGAATAGTGGGCAACTGTACAATCCTTCACATCATCCACATAGACAAGAGTCTCCACAAGCCCATGTACTACTTCCTGGCCATTCTGTCCCTTACTGACATGGGCCTGTCTATCTCTACCCTGCCCACAGTATTAAAAAATCTTCTGGTTTGATACTAGGAAGATTGAGGTGAATGCTTGTGTATCCCAGAGGTATTTTATTCATACTTTTCCCCTGATGGAGTCAGCTGTGCTTCTAGCCATGGTTTTTGACCGCTATGTTGTCATTTGTGATCCTTTGAGGTATTCCAGCAAACTCACTCCACAGCACACTGTCTACATAGGGGTCTTCATTATAATCAGATGTTCTGTTGTCCTCCCTGTTATTCTTGTTTGTATTCCCACACTTTCCTTCTGTCACTCCCATGTTCTCTCTCACTCTTTCTGTTTGCATCAAGATGTCATCCAGTTGGCCTGTGATGACATCTCATTCAACATTTTATATGGCTTGTTTGTTGTTGGATTTTATTGGGGTATAGATTCTTTAGGAATCTTGTTATCTTATGCATTCATCCTCCATTCTGTGCTAGGCATTGCATCCTAGGGAGGGAAGCTCAAAGCTCTCAATACATGTGCTTCCCACATTTGTGCTGTATTCATTCTATATGTGCCCAAGATCGGGCTATCCTTAGTGCATCACTTTGCAAAACACTCCTCCCCCTTTTTCCACATGAACATGGCCAATATTTACCTCTTAGTTCCAACAGTACTTAACTCAATCATTTATAGCATCAAGACAAAGCAGATTCCCTAAGGTTTCCTAAGGGTACTATCACCCAAAAGGGTTGGGCTTGCTCACACTTAAATGGGATAAGATTGTCTATTATTTTGACCTTTGCATCCATTTTCTGCATTCTAAAGATAACTTGTTTAGAATTTCTTGAGCACATTTTGTGCGTAATAAGTACATGATAGTTAATAAATTCTCACAAAATAAATTCACAAACTCACAAAAATAAATTCAAAGTGAATGAAATACCTAAATGTGAGAGAGGAAACCATAAAAATCCTATAGGAGAAAACAGGCATCAACTCCTTTGACTTTGCCGCAGCAACTTCTTATTAGACATGTCTCTGGAGGTAAGGAAAATAAAAGCAAAAATGAACTATGGGGACCTCATCAAGATAAAATGTTCTTCAGAGGGAAGGAAACAAATAAACAAAACTAAAAGGCAACTTACAGAATGGGAGAAGATATTTGCAAATGACATATTAGATAAAGGGTTAGTACCCCAAATCCACAAAGAACTTATCAAACTCAGTACCCAAGAAACAAAAATCCAGTGAAAAAATGGACAAAAGACATGAACAGACACTTTTCCAAAGACATCCAGATGGCTAACAGACGCATGAGAAGATGCTCAATGTCACCCATCATCAGAGAAATACAAATCAAAACCACAATGAAATACAACCTCACACCTGTCAGAATGGCTAAAATTAACAACTCAGGAAACAACAAATTTTGGCAAGAATGAGGAGAAAGGGGAACACTTTTGCACAGTTGCTGGGAATGCATACTGGTGCAGTCACTCTGGAAAACAGTATGGAGGTTCCTCAAAAAATTAAAAATAGAATTATCCTATGACCCAGCAATTGCACCACTAGGTATTTATCCAAAGGATACAAAAATGCTGATTTGAAGGGGCACATGTGCCCCAATGTTTATGGTGGTGCTATCTACAATAGCCAAATTATGGAAAGAGCCCAAATGTCCATCAATTGATGAATGGATAAACATATGGTATATATATGCAATGGAATATCACTTGGCAATCAAAATGAATGGAATTTTGCCATTTGCAACAACATGGATGGAATTAGAGTATATTATGCTAAGTGAAATAAGTGAGGCAGAGAAAGACAAATATATGATTTCACTCGTATGTGGAATTTAAGAAACACAACAGATGAACATAAGGGAAGGGAAGGAAACATAAGATAAAAACAGAGAGGGAGGCAAACCATAAGAGACTCTTAAATACAGAGAACAAATTGAGGGTTGCTGGAGGGGAATTGGAGGGGGATAGACTAAATGGGTGATGGGCATTAAGAAGGACACTTGTTGCGGGGCGCCTGGGTGGCGCAGTCGGTTAAGCGTCTGACTTCAGCCAGGTCACGATCTCGCGGTCCGTGAGTTCGAGCCCCGCGTCAGGCTCTGGGCTGATGGCTCAGAGCCTGGAGCCTGTTTCTGATTCTGTGTCTCCCTCTCTCTCTGCCCCTCCCCCGTTCATGCTCTGTCTCTCTCTGTCCCAAAAATAAATAAACGTTGAAAAAATAAATAAATAAATAAATAAAAAAAAAAAGAAGGACACTTGCTGGGATGAGCACTGGGTGTTATATGTAAGTGATGAATCACTGGGTTCTACTCCTGAAACCAATACTACACTGTATACTAACTAATTTGAATTTAAATGCATTAATTAAAAATGAAAATAAAAAATAAATTCTACATGTGTCTATAAGAAAAATATTATAAGAGTTTCTATCATTGCTTCCTAGCTTGAAAGCATCTCCAAATCCTGGTACAAGGAGATTTAGTAAGAGGAAATTCATTTCATTCAAAAAATATGGAGATACTTGATATTCAGGTTTCAAAAAATATGGAGATGTTTGATATTCAGGTTTGAGAAGTCCAATTTTTTCATATTAAAGCTAAGACTTACAGAAGTTAACTATTCAAAGGTAGCAGAGGTAATATGTAAAAGAGTGGGCAATGGTAACCAGGTACATTTTCTTTCCATTGATGCAAAGTAGACCTTATTCTCCAGATTTTGAGCTAAATCATAATAAAATAGATGCTTCAATTTAGGTATAGAATAAATAAGAAGTTTGCATTTCTTTGTTTCCTTTACTTCCATTGGAATGAATGTCAGAAAAAGCTTGGGCAATGAATTAATTGAGATAGTTTTCACAAGACCAATCTACACTTCACACTTAAAGGGCTGTATACCTATGATGAAATAGGATAAAAAGTATATCAAAATCCCTTGGTTAAGTGTACATTCCTAGTAAGGAAAATGTCTTCAGAACTTTATATAAACTAGAGTAAGAGAGATGCCAAAAACTTCCCAAGACTCTTGCTGTCCCATCTAATTCCCTAAGAAATAAGAGGAAACACATTTTTAATACTGAAGCTTAAAGGTGTACACTCCAGTTGGAGAATAGAATGTATCTGAGGCAATTAGCATGTCAGTTCAAAGAAAATCTAAACTAATGTTTGTACAAATACTATTTTAAATCATTCCCCCCAAAACTCCCTTTGGTTAAATAATGGGAAGCTGAAAAACATAAATAAACACATTTTATACAATATTATGGCTAGGATCCCCTGAAAAGAATAAAAAATATAAAAACAATTAATGAAAAAATTAAAAACTTTGTCAAACCATAGTTTAAAATTTTTTTATTTAAGGAATAAAATTATTTCAAGTAACAATGAAAAAAATAACAACAGACTGTAGTTTCCAATGATTTTAAAAGCAAAAAATCTGAAAAATGCACTTTAAAGATGAAATGAGATGGGAAAGCAGATTTTATAGCAAAGACACAGATGAATGCTAGAGAAAACAGAATGCTAGAGAATAAATATATACATGCAGCTAAGGTCGATACATGACAAAGACCTTATTTTTTACATTCTGACCATGTGGTCTTATTTCCCACAACAAAAGTCTAAGCTCCAGGGCAATTCCCATCTACTCTGGGAAGATGATTCCCATCTACTCTGCTCTATGTACATTGCCACTTGAAGAACTGATTCAACTTTTCTTTGTGAAAGAGGCCTCTTTTCTTCTTCTTCCCTAGTCTCATTCACTCTTCTTATATTTTCTCAGTGCCAGCTTTTTCTAACTGGAGTATGTAAGAAAACTAAGCATGCAATAATTTATCTGAAGTTTTCTCTTATCCACTTAAGTAGCTGGCTTCTCTAAGTTGACCCTCAATTTTGAAAAAACAAAACAAAACATTTTGTCCCTTTTAATAAAAAAAAAATGGACATCATGTTTCTTGCAAGAAAACAATGAAGAAAAAATTTACACACATAAAAACTTTGGCATGTAATAAACTCCCAGAGAGTGGTAGTGAAGGTGATCAACACAGAGATGGAGAGTAACAGAAATGTATACCAGGTAGACATGACTCCTATGTATTAATTAAATTTTTCTTGGAAATAGATGCCACCCTCAAACTGGATAATTTCAAGAATTTGATAAAGAGGTCAGGAGTCATTAAAAATATATAGGCAATATTTAGGAAAATGAAGAAAATCTGTATTTATATTTGTATCTCTATCTGTATATATATTTATTTTATAGTATTCCAGATGAGATGTTTGCTACCATCACTAGTCCTGAAGAGGCAAAGGAAAAAGAGTTTACCTGAACTCAGGAAAGGCATCGCGTGGAGAAGGACACCTGATATACACTTGTCCTTTCTGTAGAGAGATACAGCCATCATGAAGGGTTGATAGGAACTCAGGGGAGTAAATATCTAAACTGTATGTTCTTCTGTATTCCTGTTTCCAGCTCCCATCACTGACCAAGTCATATGAGAACCCAGATAGTGAAAGGACCCATTGAGACAATCCACTATGGTCAAAACACAGAGCAGGGAAGATCTGGGAAATAGACAAAACATGTCCTTCTCACAGAAACCACTTTGACTTTCATATTTATATCCACTCTCAGGCTTGTGATTTAGGTAGTGCTTGAATATGGATATCTGCCCATCACATTCTCCCCATCATAGTGAATCATTCAAAATTGAACTTATGACCAGTATTGTCAAAGATGTGGGCAGTGGAAAATAAAATTGTGTTCTTATTTCCTTCCATTGTATACCTGAGTAATATATAGACCATATGGCAAAGGAGTATGGATACATTGACTACTGAAAATCTTTTAATTTGGGATCCTTGATTGTATCAAATTTATATGATATCAAAGTGATTTCAATTAATATCAAATAAGTATAAGGAGAATTGTGAAACATCCATCCAGTGAACACAGTAAGTTCATATCATTTGTCTGGCAATCCATTGAGAAGACATTTGAAGATGGAATTGTGAGGGTTTGCAACTGTTAATGTATAAATAATGTCTTATTTCCATAGACTATCAGTGGATGGTGAATTTCTTTAGTAATCGAGTACATTTTCTTTAGGAAAACTATTATTTATATTGAGGTCATCAATTCCTGAAAAATTCCTGTTGTGCTACCTCATTTCTTCTAGACATTGATGCAATAGTATTTGAGACTCTCAATAGCCCTCTTGCCCTTGTATTCCCAAACTCTCAATCCTGCTGCAGCTGGAGTGGTGGAGAAAAACAAACTAAAGTGGTGGCACTGACAGGGTTACATACTGTTTTGCATTTTTTGTAGGGCCTCCTATCTTGAAGGACTGGAGGAGACTTATGAACTGATCCTTCTTCCTCTGAGAATTAGAATGGTCTCTGATGACAAGTGGAACTATTCTACCAGGTACATGAGTGAGTCCTGGGGGAAATAAAAGTGAGAGTGTAAGAGGAAATTACAGAGGGGCACTTGAGAGACAAAAGAGAGGAGGGTGGACACCCAGAGTGTGGGCAGGAGGACCAGAACACTGTTGGAGAAGAGAGACATTC